CCATATTGGCCTTCCCGCCAGAACCGCTTTTCTTGAAAGGTCTGAAACCACCTCGTCGGTGATTCCCCTTTTTGCTGGATGATTTTCCTTTTCCTTTTCTTTTTCTTGAATTTGAAATTCCGCCCAGACACTCTCCTCGCAATGAAAGCATCGTTCTCCTCGAGTACCCAGAACGTCTCCTCATCGTTGTTCGACATGAATCCTTCGTATCCTTCTTCGTCTTCCACCCAGAAGCCTTCTTCGCCTTCGTATTCTCCTTGTTCCAGGATATAGAAGGTGTTGCTTCCTCGTCCTCCTTGAGGTCGGATGGATGGATCTTGGATCGAGGTTCTTGTTGTAATGAAGAGGTCGTGGTACTGTGTCTTCATCATATCGTAGGTGTAGTTCTCGAGCGTGATGTTCCTCAATGACATTGCGCTGATCAGTCTTTCTCGCTGCTGATCGGATAACTCACTCTGGATGATGAAGAACTGTGCAATTAGGTTATCGTTGAGGGGAAATGTTTCCATGTGTCTTGTCTGCCTGCCGGAGGTGTACTGTCTGTATACTTCGGCACTCTCCGGATTCAGGAGATCTGGAGGCGGGGCTCCCGCACCGGCTGCTTGCTGATGCGCGGCCAATCTTCTATTGTTGGCATCTTGAACGGATGCTAAATACTCTGGTGACTGCGCCGTGTGGATGGGTAAGAAGTCCATCCAGGCTGCCTTCAGTCTCATCAAGAGGATTTCAAATTTTGATGTAAAAATGAGGAACTCGTTGTTCTGCCTCCTGTGATTGAAGAAACCGAGAAGTCGGTACAGATACACGTTGGTCGTGCCCTTGAGGAAGAACTTCTTCAGCGTGTTCTTGAAATAGGTGACTCCTTCTACCGGATCTTGCAATAGCTCATTCTGGAGGATGGATCGATACATCTGTGCATCTCCTGTGAGTCTGCTCTTCAGTAACGGTCCTCTCTTTTCTGGATCGACTGTAGTGAAGGTCACCCAATCGTCCACGAGTTCTTCAAATCGGAACCAGCTGACTTTTCCGTCGAACGATGGCGGCTGCTTGGCGGTCATCGATAAATTGAGAGTCTCTTCAGTGTAGCCGGATGATCGGCCAACACTTGCAAAAGCCTCCATGAAACCTTCTCCATCGGATGACATTTTGTCTGGATCGGTGCAGGAAAACCTGCTCCGCTACCACTTTGTAGCTCCAATGCCAGGGGTCCAAAGGTCCCCTTGCTGTAATGGAATACTTGTAGGTCCCCGGATCTATTCCACACACGAATGGATCCTGACAAATGCCCCTGGAGTTATCTGGATAAGTCCTGGTGGTTTGTACTAGTTCAATGTCCCAATAAGCGGATGCTGCAAGCTCCCTTTGTACTCGTACTGCAATGCAATGTAGAGATGCAATGCTATGTACACATGAGGTGACAAATGGGCCTTGAGCCAAAGTGATGCATTCATGCTATGAGACCAAGTGTGCAACACAAACAGGAACACCCCCCTCCCCCCTCCTCCCGTAAGAGGGAAGAGAATTGTCATATGTTTCTAAATTAGGAACATTAGAAAAATTGGCAAACATGGGCCCTCAAATTTCATATGTTTCTATCTGTTCTAATTCCCGTAGTCTTCCGTAGCCTTTCGTAGCCTTTTGGTAGCCTTCCCGGACCCACTTCCCAGAATCCTGGGCCCTGTTTGTTTTCATGGTTTTTCTATTTTTCTAATTAAATTAGGACAATTAGACAAATTAGAAAAACTATGCCCTCAAATTTCGTTTTTTCAAATTAAATTAGGAAAATTAGAAAAAAGAAACATCGGCCCTCAAATTTGCTATTTTCTGACAAAATCGGAAAAATCGGCTCTCAAATTTCATGTTTTACTATTTTTCTAATTAACTTAGGAACATTATACAAATTAGACAAAATTGGCCCTCAAATTTCCGATTTTTTCTAATTCCCGTAGTCTTCCGTAATCTTCCGTAGTCTTTCGTAGCCTTTCGTAGCCTTCCGGTAGCCTTCCCGGACCCACTTCCCAGAATCCTGGGCCCTAGTTTTTTCTATTTTCCTAGTTGTTCTAATTAAATTAGGATAATTAGGAAAAATAGCAAAATAGGCCCTCAAATTTCCTAATTGTGCTATGTTCTCTAATTTAAATTAGAGAAACTAAAAATAAAATGGGCCCTCAAATTTCCTAATTGTTCTATTTGTTCTGATTAGATTAGGAAAAAAAACGATTCTGAGCCCTATGGGGTCGGCGGAACCAGGCCGGAGGCCATAAAATTCGGCCTCGCCGTGCTATTCGCCCAAAGGGGCGCATGCCAAGGCTTTGCCTTTCCGACGGACGGCCCTATCCGCCGACATTGGAGATGCAGATGATGCGTGGTGCCTTTGGTGCATCATCACCACCCGCGCGGCCGTTGGAGCTCCAGTTGGTGAGAGGCTGAAAACGGCTCAAAACACTGTAAATATGCAGCGCGCCGGCTGCATTGCCAGCATCGCCTGTGTCCTCGGCAGGCCCTGTGCGGAACGCATCGCATGCATCCCCTGCATCGTTTGGTTTTGAGGCCACCTTGCCCCAAGCCAATCGTGATGCTGCGCGCGCGCGCGCGCGGCCGCGCGCGCCTCGTGCGTGCGCTCGCGCGCGCGTGCGCGCGCCGCACTCTTGTTGTTGTTGTTGTTGTTGTTGTTGTTGTTGTTGTTGTTGTTGTTGTTGTGGTGGGTGGTGGGTGGTGTGGTGGGTGTTGGTGGGTGGTGGGTGGTGGTGGTGGGTGGTGGGTGGTGGGTGGTGGGTGGTGGGTGGTGGGTGGTGGGTGGTGGGTGGTGGGTGGTGGGTGGTGGGTGGTGGGTGGTGGGTGGTGGTGGGTGGTGCGTGGTGGGTGGGTGGTGGGTGGTGGGTGGTGGGTGGTGGGTGGTGGGTGGTGGGTGGTGGGTGGTGGGTGGTGGGTGGTGGGTGGTGGGTAGTGGGTGGGTGGTGAGTGGTGGGTGGTGGGTGGTGGGTGGTGGGTGGTGGGTAGTGGGTGGTGGGTGGTGGGTGGTGGGTGGTGGGTGGGCGGCGAGCGGTGGGTGGTGGGTGGTGGGTGGTGGTGGGTGGTGGGTGGCGGGTGGCGGGTGGTGGGTGGTGGGCAGCCAGCCATCCGTCCATCCATCCAGCCAGCCAGCCAATGAGCCAGCCATCCATCCACCCGTCCATCCAGCCAATGAGCCAGCCAACCATCCATCCATCCAGCCATCCATCCATCCAGTCAGCCAGCCAGCCATCCATTCAACCATCCATCCATCCGGCCAGCCAGCCATCCATCCAACCAGCCAGCCATCCAACCAGCCAGCCACTCACGCATCCAGCCAGCCCCAGCCGAGCCATCCATCCATTCGTCCACCCAGCCAGCCAATGAGTGAGCCAGCCAACCATCCATCCATCCATCCAGCCAGCCAGCCATCCATCCGGTCAGCCAGATTCAACCATCCATCCATCCGGCCGGCCAGCCAGCCAGCCATCCATCCAACCAGCCAGCCATCCATCCAGCCAGTGTGCCGGCCATCCATCCAGCCAGCCAGTCATCCATCCATCCAACCAGCCATCCATCCATCCGGCCAGCCAGCCAGCCAGCCATCCATCTTCGCCATGCATCTCATGCATCATGAGCCCGTGCCAGATTCAACCATCCATCCATCCGGCCGGCCAGCCAGCCAGCCATGCATCCAACCAGCCATCCATTCAGCCAATGCGCCGGCCATCCATCCAGCCAGCCAGCCAGTCATCCATCCATCCAACCAGCCATCCATCCATCCGGCCAGCCAGCCAGCCATCCAACCAGCCAGCCAGCCATCCATCTTCGCCATGCATCTCTTGCATCATGAGCCCGTCCCGGGGGGCGGCAGCCCTTAAATCAGCCAGCCGAGCCAGCCATCCATCCATTCGTCCATCCAGCCAGCCAATGAGCCAGCCAACCATCATCCAGCCAGCCAGCCATCCATTCGGTCAGCCAGATTCAACCATACATCCATCCGGCCGGCCAGCCAGTCAGCCATCCAACCAGCCAGCCATCCATTCAGCCAGTGTGCCGGCCATCCATCCAGCCAGCCAGCCAGCCAGCCAACCAGCCAGCCAGCCATCCATCTTCGCCATGCATCTCATGCATCATGAGCCCGTCCCGCGAGGCCGACGCGCGGAGCAAGAAAGTATTGAAAATGCTTTTTCCGGGACCGTATTTTTAATATTAGGGGGGGGGCCCTTTTTATATTAGGGGGAACGGATTATATCGGGGACCGGTTGAAGCGCCAAGCCAACTAACTCATGCACGCAGGGTTTCCGACGTTTCTGATTGATCACTTAACGTACGTAAAGAACTGCTGTGCTTTTCTCGCAGCCTGTTTGTCAAGAGAGTGGGTGGACGAAGACATGATAGGAAAAGTCCCGAGGTTAAGCCGCAATGTCTCGCCCGTGACAGTAATGAGGAGGACACTGGAACGGTACCTTCAAAGTTGCCACAACAGGTGGGTCGAAGATGGGATCTTGCAGTATTGACATGTCTTGATTCCTCACTGCTCAATATGAAACCTTATAGGTAAACGTCTTTTACAAGGGTAATGGGCACCAACTGCAGATCCCAGCCACGTGCGCCCGACATGTTGACACGTGCTGCGACAATGAGTGAGAAAGAATGGAGTTGCTTGGAAGTGCCCAAAACGCTGTTTTTGGAAAACCCGGTTTTCCCCGGAAAAAAGAACTGTTTTTTTGGCAGACCCTTCTTTTTTTAGGGGTTTGGAGTTCGCTGGCATGTATATGAATGCAATCACTCATACTGGCTGCAAAGCCAAGCCTGAAAAGGGCATGAACCGGATTGAACCGAACCGCCCGTGAACCGAACCGCCCCATGAACCGAACCGCCCCATGAACCGAACCGTAAGTCCAACGAACCGAACCGGTATCGGTTCACACGCCGCATCCATGAACCGAATCGAACCCAATCGAACCGTAGGAACCCTGATAAGTGAGACAAAGGTTTGGCCATGCCTCGGCTGACATAGCAGGAAAGTCGGAGACTCCTTGCTTGACCAGTCGTTCGGTCTGGCCGCGCGCCGGACCAGGTGGTCACCATAAAGAAGAAGCAGAAAACCAAGGAGGGAAAACCAAGAAGCAAGTTGCTAATGCCAAATTCCAAGCGTGACGCCTTCCGTCCGAATCATTGCAGCAGCCATGATTCACGCAATGCAAAACACTACATCATTCAACAAGTTGGGCTGGGGGACATGCAAAACGCACTGGCGCAGGGTTGTTTTCAAGCGCATTCTGGGGAAGTATCTAAGTCTGGCGTGCTACGTACCAGGGCTACTGCAAAAACTTGCTGCAAAGTGGAAAGGGGTCACAAAAACCTGCTGCAAAGTGGCAACTGGTCACGAAACGCCTCTGCGCGTGCTGTTTGCTACCGGTTTGCTAGCGGTTTGCCAGGGGGGAAAAACGCGTATACACAACAATTCATGTTGAATGATGATTGCAGGAAGTTGGTGCCCAGTTCAAACAAACTAAGGTGTCGACCTGAGGGCCGTGCAAAACACGGGGAATCATGGATTATGAGGTGCGGACGCCTCAGGCTCCTCACAAGTGATCAACTCCTCACAAGTGATTGGGTGTTGGAGGCTTTTGGGAGCAAAGCTGCAAATCCACAGGCTGCTTAACCTGATAGACCTGGGGGTTTAATGTCCGCCTCTGATTAGTAAACCCCCCCCCCAAACAATGAAGGGATCCTGAATAGTCACCCTCGATTGATTTAGTATTGCTTAGTATTGGGAAGGGTCTGGTGGAGTTTAGTATTGTTTAGTATTGCTCCTCCAACTTGGGGATTCTCCAGGATGCAGCGTTGCTTTGTACTGCTAGATTGCTTTTGTTTTCACATCTGATGGTGGCCACTTTGTATTGGCAAGACTTGATCTCAGATTCCCAGTACTTACGTTAGTATGGGTAAGACTAAACTTAGTGTTGCCCAAACACATCGTTTTAGATTCCCAGCACTTTACTTACTTTAGTATTGGCAAGACTAAGCTGAGTACTGCCCAACATTGATCTCAGATTTCCAGTACTTACTTTAGTATTGGTAAGACTAAACTTAGTATTGCCCAACCTTGATTTTAGATTCCCAGTACTTACTTTAGTATTGGTAAGACTAAACTTAGTATTGCCCAAACTTCATGTTTGATTCCCAGTACTTACTTTAGTATTGCTAAAGCCAGACTTAGTATTGCCTAAACTTCATTTTAGATTCCCAGTACTTACTTTAGTATTGGCAAGACTAAACTTAGTACTGCCCAACCTTGATCTGAGATTCCCAGTACTTACTTTAGTATTGGTAAGACTAAACTTAGTATTGCCCAAACTTCATTTTAGATTCCCAGTACTTACTTTAGCATTGGCAAGACTAAACTCAGTATGCCCAAACTTCATTTTATATTCCCAGCACTTACTTTAGTATTGGTAAGACTAGACTTAGTATTGCCTAAACTTCATTTTAGATTCCCAGTACTTACTTTAGTATTGGCAAGACTAAAGTGGAGTTTAGTATTGTTTAGTATTGCTTGGTATTGGGAGGGGCCTGGTGGAGTTTTGAATTGTTTAGTGTTGCTAAGTATTGATCAAGCCAAAAACTAAAAAACTTTATTTAGGGGCTGGCCCCAAATAAAGTTTCTATTTTGTTTTTGGTGCCTTTGTGGGCTACCCCTTTGTGGAATAGATTTTGTGCATTTTCTTGAAAGAGGTTTGATAGGAAACCTGCAGTTTGGGAACCTTGGAATTTTTGGAATTTGACAGGTCAAACATTTGTTTTGCTCCATTTGTTTTGCTCCATGTTTTTTGAATTCGATTTTTTCCCCCTCCCAGGGATTTTTCCCCCAAACCAAAACACTTTATTTAGGGTCCTTTTATTAATCTCTCCGGCCCCGCGAAAAAACTTTATTTAGGCACACTTTAATAATCATAGGTGGACATTACCTGAAAACTCAATTGATCAAGGTAGGTGTTGTGTTGTGTTGTGTTGTGTTGCTATATGGGACACTGCGTGGCGCATCTAAGGTTGAATCGATCAGCCAGCGAGGTCATTGCCAAGAGTGAGCGGACTGAAGCATAAATCATGAAGAACGGACTAAAAGAAACGCAGCAGTGGGAGATCACAACTGGGCCTGCGTGGAAGGTGGAACTTGTGTTGTCTTGCATGAACCGACCATTAAAACAAGAGATCGGGGGACTGTGGTAGTGCACTGTTTTGTCATTTTAAAGGTGTGATCTCTTGCAAAAGATGTGCCCATGTTTGCTGATGAGTTTGGCCTCTTCTAATGTTACTGAGGTGTTGTAGAATGCTGTCAACTGGTGCTCCTCATCAAGCAAGGGTAGCCGCAATAATTATCTATTTGTTCTACATCTGTACATGTTCACGTGAATGGATTGGATGGGTATTGAATTTACATGTATACATATATCTAGCACCACTAACTGGCACATCACCTCATCCTTGAAATACACTCCTATCCTTTTTGAAGACAAGTTGTCAAAAACGTCGTAAATTACAGTGTTTTATGCACTTGTTCATCCAGACACCTAGTCAACACTACAATGAAAGCTCTGTTGCAAACCATTATGGTGCACGGCCTTGAAACAAGACAAAGCACTTGTCAAGCCACTTTATCTGTATGCTTTTGCTTGTACACATTTCTTGCTCTGTGTGTTTGGTTACTTTTACAAGTTGTGTGCTGTGTTGACCCATTTGTTCAGTGCAAAGCCCCTTGCTCAACAAAAGCATGTCTAGATAGAGCATGTCCTATCTTTCGATATCTTTCCCTCAGTATCAAGTGCCTCTTTTCTTCAAAACACAGTTTCTTGCTTACAAGAAAATGCCTCTTTGCAAATGTGTAGGCTGCGCTAATGCCTGGCCCCAATTGTGAACATACTGCCAAATTAACAATAATGCCTATGAGCAAAGCACCTGTGCCTGTCCTACCAGTATAGCCGGCGAAGCCGGGGGCGGAAGTTTCTAAAGAACAAAACATGCCTATAGGAAGAGGCTTGTTGCTTCTTTCTTGCAAGTGTTTTTCCCTGCTCCTTGCTGCTTGCTGCGTGCTTCTTGCTTCTTGCTTCTTGCCTCTTGCCTCTTGCTTCTTGCTTCTTGCTTCTTGCTTCTTGCGTCTTGCTTCTGGCTTCTGGCTTCTGGCTTCTTGCTCCTGGCTTCTTGCTTTGGCTTCTTGCTTGTGGCTTCTTGCTTGTGGCTTCTTGATTCTGGCTTCTGGCTTCTTGCTTCTTGCTTCTTGCTTCTTGCTTCTTGCTTCTGGCTTCTGGCTTCTTGCTTCTTGTTTCTTGCTTCTTGCTTCTTGCTTCTGGCTTCTGGCTTCTTGCTTCTTGCTTCTTGCGTCTTGCGTCTTGCTTCTTGCTTCTTGCTTCTGGCTTCTTGCTTCTGGCTTCTTGCATGGCCTCTCGCTTCTTGCTTCTTGCTTCTCTTCTCTCCTCTCCGCTCCTCCCCTCCCCTCCCTTCCTCCCGTTCCTTCATCTCCGGATGCAAAGCTGCCGCGCCTGCCACACGAAACGCACCTGGCCTTGCCGAAGTGCCGCGCCTGCCACACAAATCTACACCTGCGAAAGCGTCTGCGCGAGCGTTACAGTGCGGAACTCTCGCGAACACCTCCGAAGTGCTGCGCCTGCCACGAAATCTGCACGCGAGATGCGAAAGTGCCGCGCCTGCCACGCGAAACGTACCTGACGTTGCGAAAGTGCTGCGCCTGTCACGCGAAACCTCTGCGCGCGCGTGCCAGTGGGCGACTTTTCGAGACCGCACGAAGTGCTGCGCCTGTCACGCGAAACGAGTCTCGACAAACCCTCCGCGCGAGCGTGCCAGTGCGGAACGCTCGCGAGACCGTTCGCGAGACCGCACGAAGTGCTGCGCCTGTCACGCGAAACGAGTCTCGACAAACCCTCCGCGCGAGCGTGCCAGTGCGGAACGCTCGCGAGCCCGTTCGCGAACCCGCACGAAGTGCTGCGCCTGTCACGCGAAACGAGTCTCGACAAACCCTCCGCGCGAGCGTGCCAGTGCGGAACGCTCGCGAGCCCGTTCGCGAACCCGCACGAAGTGCTGCGCCTGTCACGCGAAACGAGTCTCGACAAACCCTCCGCGCGAGCGTGCCAGTGCGGAACGCTCGCGAGCCCGTTCGCGAACCCGCACGAAGTGCTGCGCCTGTCACGCGAAACGAGTCTCGACAAACCCTCCGCGCGAGCGTGCCAGTGCGAAACGCTCGCGAGACCGTGCGCTGAACAGAGGTACCCTACACCATTTTGCGGACTCTATCTTGCGACTTGCTTCGCTTGCGAGCGTATGCGCAACTTGAGACTGTGAAGTTTTCGTATTACGGAAGTTTTGCAACTAAACTTCCTTTGATGAACTTAGTCCCCCTATAACAACAAGTATAAGCAAAGCAAGTGTGTCTGCCCTATCAACTTAGTCCCATCCTACACAAAGAAACAAGTATCCTTGTTCATCAAACTCTTCCTTTACAAGAGCGCCTTCCCTTGTACATTGTTTCTATGTATCAGTGTCCTCTGAATGAGTATGCTCCTTCTAGCAGATCCAGCATATGCATCCTATTTTGAAAATAATGCCTTCAAACAGCAGCCCTTGTCATCAAAGGTCCCTTAAACAAAACATGTCTATTTGTATGATGTCATTATTTAAAAGAGCCCTTCCCTATGTGAATGCATCATTCTTTTTACAGAGCTTCACATGATGTAGAGCAAGTTTCACACGCCTATTCCTTTTTGGGGGCAAGTTGTCAAACATAGCGTAAATTACAGTGTGTTGTGCACTTTGCGTCGCAATTTGAAAACAAAAAACAAGTACAGGACAATTCAAGAAAGCCAACAAACACACAAAGCCTTAAGCAAACAAAACAACTCTAGAAAACCAGCAAAAAGCCGAAAACCAAAAGAACCTCGAGAAAACCAAAACACTGAAAACCAAAAAACACTCGATAAAACCAAAAAAACACAAAAACCTTGAGAAAACAACAAAAACACAAAAACAAAAAACTCGAGAAAACCAAACAAAACAAAAAAACCTCGAGAAAACCAAAAAAACAAAAACAACAAAACAAAAAACAATGTTCCAGAACTCTTTCCAAAAGACATGTTTTCCAAAGAGTTTGGAAACCATGTTTTTTATGGTTTTTTTGTTTTTTGGTGTTTTCTCGAGGTTTTTTGTTTTTTGTGGTTTTCTCGAGTTGTTGTGTGGTTTTTCTGGTGTTGCAAGTGTCTGGGAGAATAAATCTTGGGAGTATAAGGCTGAAAAGCTTGAAAAACACGAAAAAGCGCACTACCAGGGTCCCCTGTTCTGTAAAACAAAGGATTGTCGCCAACCGGCCTTTGTTTTAAAGGTTGTTTGAACACCAGGGCACAGTTCTCCAGCCAACAAATTAAAACTATAACAACATGTCACGTCATTTTGCAAGCGCCCACATGCGCCCACCTAACGGATTTCCTAGCGATGCCGCGCAGTTTCAAGGATTTCCAGCACGCGACGCCTTCAAAGCAATAGTAAAAAACACATCTGCAATCCGACTTGGGCACCAGGAATATAAACTTGCTAGGCACGCACTTTATGTTCAGTGTAACCCTTGATGTTGGTGAGGCAAAACCAGCCATGCCCGCCTCGTGGAGGCAGCCTTCGCCATTGTCAAAGGGAGTCACTCCTGCGCGTGCGCAGTTCAGCGCTGCACAAGCAACCACTAGGGAAAAAAATCAGGGACGGCTCACTGTGTTCTTAGCGCAAAACTTAGTCGAGTTTAGGTGCTTCTACGGGGGGTTCTGCGAAGAAGTTCTGCGAAGCACTTCTGTGACGCGGTTTAGTAGTCACTTGCTATTTGGCGGAAGTTCTGCGGGGATGAAGGGGCGCTTCTGCGAAGCGGGCCTGCGGTTCTGCGAAACAGGGCCAAACTTCTGAGTGCTTCTGCGAACGCGGTCCGGGAGGACAAACAGCCCAGGTGTCCCCTGGTATTTTTTCCTGAACCACAGTCTCCCTTCTCTCTTCTCTCTTCTCGCTCGCCAGCTGGCTTTCACTTTGCATCACTTTGCTCTAGTACTACGGACGTACCCTGTAACCTTCCTTTCGCTGCGGAAGTTCCTTCTAAGTCTGTTGATTAGAAAACAACACTCTTGGGCTGGCCCCTCTTTGCACTACAGTAGCGTCCTGAAAGCAACTCGAAGAGCAGCACGCCGAGAGACCACCAGTCGCACAGCTTGGTGTAGCCGGTCTGGCCGCCAAAGACCTGTCAAGTCAGTAATTCAGCACTTCTAGACTTCTAGAGTCAGTAACTAGCGTTCATGCTCACAATTGACATGGTCATGTTCAAGCGCTTGCCGGTCGCACGTTGTGTGCTTGTGTGTGTGTGTGCGTGCGTACGTCTTTGCCTGCGCATGTCGTTGCAGATTTCCTGAAGGCACCGTCCCCTCAGCCAGGCTGGCACCAACATGAAAAGCTGATGGAAGAGCGGGCGATTGGAAGTCAGCAAGCTTTGCGCCGGCATGCGCCTCCGGGGCCATGTAGACCGGTGTGCCCGCCACTGTGAACGTGCGGCCTCAGCGACTCAAATGACAAACAATCCGCCATTATGCGCAAGCACTTCCCACTTGACATCATGGCTTCAATAGACTGAGAGCCCGCGAAACTTGTTGAGTCAGCCATGTTGTCGCCCCGAGATCGGGCGGCCCAGGGTGGATTCAAGCTCTGGTGGAGAAGGGCGGGGGCCCAGCTTTCAATGTTTTACCATTTTTTCTTCTAAAGGGCCCCCCCCGGGACCCCCTCAAATGATTGATCTATCACAGCCGTTGGGAATTTTCTCACCCCTAGACTCGCTAAAGCAATAAAGCAACTCCAAGTTAGTTATCGCTACCTTTCGTGGCAACCGGCCCATAGGGGGCCCCCCATTTTGAAACACGCCCACTCCAGTGCAGCTTGCCTCTGTTTGGCAGTCTGACAACGCTTCCCACCTCCAAAGTGATTGCCTCCCGTTTTGAGGCACCAAGCCGCTGCTGCATTTCGCCACGCCGAAGTCCGCCACCTCTTGCAAAGAGGAGCGCTGATGTGGAAACCACCAATGTTATCATGGCCCTGGGTAGCCTAGCGGCAATTCCGCTGAAGCCACTTTCAAAAATTAAAGGACCGGATAACCCCACATGCGTATTTTGGGGGGTAAGTGCTTCGAAGTGTACGTGTTGAGGGGCAGCTTTTCAGCAGCCCGAGTTCAAGCAACTCCTTTGCTAGGAGATGGCAGTTTGCGCCAGACTAGCCAGGCAAGCCAGTCCTCTCACACATCTTGAGCAACAAGGTAATCGACCCCTTCGAGCAAAAACTGCTACAGGATTTGGGGGCGAGCCTGGGCGACATGCCTTACGTGTTGTGTGAGCCTTGCGATCTGCTACGTAGCGAAAAGCCAGGACCAGCGGAGCTATGAAATCCTTGCGCGTTTTTCAGCCAGCCGTCAGACCCGTCAATTGCGGGATCTCTTTGCTCCGTAAACTAGAGGTGGCAGAATTTAAGAGGAATGGTTGCCCAGGATTCGGCCCAATAGAAAGACCATTAGAACAATTGCTTTGCCAAATCTTTCTTGTGTGCGACCAGGAGTGGGAGCATGCGCCAAGTTGCAAACCGCCGCTGCGCGAATATGGCAAAAATACGCCTGCTGGCGACGCAGCGTTGCAAAACTCTTGCGGCCTCATGTAGGGCAAGGGGCATGTCCTCGCTGGGCTGTCATGTGGGCATTGCTCACTGGGCTCTGAGCCACGGCGAAATGGCCGCACATGACGGCCAATATGAAAAGCGGCTTCTCGAAAGATTCAGTTGCAGACCATCCGTGTTTCACCACTATGGTGTTGGTTGGGCATTTCTCAAATGCTGCCCCTGCCACGCAAAGACACGCCCAGGTGCACAAAATGCTGCGCCTGCCACGACTTCAGCAACGCCATCTCCAAAGTGCTGCGCCTGTCACGCAAATCAGGGGCCCCCAGCCGCGCGCGCGACAACATCCAATCCCATTATAGAGTTCTCAAATGCTGCCCCTGCCACGCAAAGACACGCCCAGGTGCACAAAGTGCCGCGCCTGCCACGATTTCAGCAACGCCATCTCCAAAGTGCTGCGCCTGTCACGCAAATCAGGGGCCCCCAGCCGCGCGCGCGACAACATCCAATCCCATTATAGAGTTCTCAAATGCTGCCCCTGCCACGCAAAGACACGCCCAGGTGCACAAAATGCTGCGCCTGCCACGAATTCAGCAACGCCATCTCCAAAGTGCTGCGCCTGTCACGCAAATCAGGGGCCCCCAGCCGCGCGCGCGACAACATCCAATCCCATTATAGAGTTCTCAAATTGCTCTGCCAACAATTTCGCAAAGGACAGCGCTGCCCGGCTGCTCAAATCCCCACCCGCGCGCTGCGCCTGTCAGCAAATCAGGGCCCACCGCGCGCGCGCGCGCGACAACATCCAATCCCATTACAGAGTTCTCACATGCTGCCCCTGCCACGCAAAGACACGCCCAGGTGCACAAAGTGCTGCGCCTGCCACAATTTCAGCAACGCCATCTCCAAAGCGCTGCGCCTGTCACGCAAATCAGGGGCCCCCAGCCGCGCGCGCGACAACATCCAATCCCATTATAGAGTTCTCAAATGCTGCCCCTGCCACGCAAAGACACGCCCAGGTGCACAAAGTGCCGCGCCTGCCACGATTTCAGCAACGCCATCTCCAAAGTGCTGCGCCTGTCACGCAAATCAGGGGCCCCCAACCGCGCGCGCGCGACAACATCTAATCCCATTACAGAGTTCTCACATGCTGCCCCTGCCACGCAAAGACACGCCCAGGTGCACAAAGTGCTGCGCCTGCCACAATTTCAGCAACGCCATCTCCAAAGCGCTGCGCCTGTCACGCAAATCAGGGGCCCCCAGCCGCGCGCGCGACAACATCCAATCCCATTATAGAGTTCTCAAATGCTGCCCCTGCCACGCAAAGACACGCCCAGGTGCACAAAGTGCTGCGCCTGCCACAATTTCAGCAACGCCATCTCCAAAGCGCTGCGCCTGTCACGCAAATCAGGGGCCCCCAGCCGCGCGCGCGACAACATCCAATCCCATTACAGAGTTCTCACATGCTGCCCCTGCCACGCAAAGACACGCCCAGGTGCACAAAGTGCGCGCCTGCCACGATTTCAGCAACGCCATCTCCAAAGTGCTGCGCCTGTCACAATTTCAGCAACGCCATCTCCAAAGCGCTGCGCCTGTCACGCAAATCAGGGGCCCCCAGCCGCGCGCGCGACAACATCCAATCCCATTACAGAGTTCTCACATGCTGCCCCTGCCACGCAAAGACACGCCCAGGTGCACAAAATGCTGCGCCTGCCACGACTTCAGTGAGTGAGTGTGAGTGCGTGTGAATGAGTGAGTGTGAGTGAGTGAGTGTGAGTGAGTGAGTGAGTGAGTGAGTGAGTGAGTGTGACTGAGTGTGAGTGAGTGTGAGTGAGTGAGTGAGTGAGTGCGAGTGGAGTGAGTGTTGTAGTGAGTGAGTGTGAGTGAGTGTGAGTGAGTGTGAGTGACTGAGTGTGAGTGAGTGAGTGTGAGTGAGTGAGTGTGAGTTGAGTGTGTGTAAGTGAGTGAGTGAGAGTGAGTGAGTGAGTGAGTGAGTGAGTGAGTGAGTGAGTGAGTGAGTGAGTGAGTGAGTGAGTGAGTGAGTCAGTGAGTGAGTGAGTGAGTGAGTGAGTGAGTGAGTGAGTGAGTGAGTGAGTGAGTGAGTGAGTGTGAGTGAGAGTGAGTGAGTGACGTGGTGTTCTGTGTGTATCGTGTGTGAGTGTTTGGGCATCATGTAGCTTAGTTGAGTGTGTGTCTGTGTGAGTGAGAGTTATGTAAGTTGGATGTGGTTTGTGGAGGTGAGTGAGTGAGTGAGTGAGTGAGTGAGTGAGTGAGTGAGTGAGTGAGTGTGAGTGTGAGTGTGAGTGAGTGTGTGTGTGAGTGAGTGTGAGTGAGTGTGAGTGAGTGTGAGGTGAGTGTGAGTGTGAGTGTGAGTGTGAGTGTGAGTGGTGCGAGTGGTGTGAGTGGTGCGAGTGAGTGGAGTGAGTGGTCGAGTGATGTGAGTGTAGAGGGTGGACGTGAGTGTGAGTGAGTGAGTGTCAGTGGAGTGTGAAGTGAGTGGTGAGTGAGTGTGAGTGAGTGTGAGTGAGTGTGAGTGAGTGTGTGTGAGTGAGTGAGTGTGAGTGAGTGCGAGTGAGTGTGAGTGAGTGTGAGTGAGTGAGTGTGAGTGAGTGTGAGTGAGTGTGAGTGAGTGAGTGTCAGTGAGTGTGAGTGAGTGTGAGTGAGTGTGTGTGAGTGAGTGAGTGTGAGTGAGTGCGAGTGAGTGTGAGTGAGTGTGAGTGAGTGTGAGTGAGTGTGAGTGAGTGTGAGTGAGCGTGAGTGAGTGTGTGTGAGTGAGTGAGTGTGAGTGAGTGCGAGTGAGTGTGAGTGAGTGTGCGTGAGTGTTGAGTGAGCGTGAGTGAGTGTGAGTGAGTGTGAGTGAGTGTGAGTGAGTGAGTGTGAGTGAGTGTGAGTGAGTGTGTGTGAGTGAGAGTGAGTGAGTGAGTGCGAGTGAGTGTGAGTGAGTGTGAGTGAGTGTGAGTGAGTGTGAGTGAGTGTGAGTGAGTGTGAGTGAGTGTGTGTGAGTGAGTGAGTGTGAGTGAGTGCGAGTGAGTGTGAGTGAGTGTGAGTGAGTGAGTGTGAGTGAGTGTGAGTGAGTTTGTGAGGTGAGTGTGATGTGAGTGTGCGTGAGTGCTGAGTGAGCGTGATGTGAGTGTGCAGTGAGGAGTGAGTGGAGTGTGATGATGTGGAGTGTGAGGAGTGTGAGTGAGTTGTGTGTGAGTGAGAAGTGAGTTGAGTGAGTGTGAGTGAGTGCGGAGTGATGTGGAATGTGCGTGTGATGTGAGTGTGAGTGTGTGTGAGTGAGTGTTGATGAGTGTGCGTGAGTGAGTGAGTGAGAAGTGAGTGCGATTGTGTGAAGTGTGTGTTGAGTGAGAGTGAGTGAGTGTGAGTGTGTGTGAGTGAGTGAGTGTGAGTGAGTGCGAGTGAGTGTGAGTGAGTGTGAGTGAGTGAGTGTGAGTGAGTGTGAGTGAGTGTGAGTGAGTGAGTGTCAGTGAGTGTGAGTGAGTGTGAGTGAGTGTGTGTGAGTGAGTGAGTGTGAGTGAGTGCGAGTGAGTGTGAGTGAGTGTGAGTGAGTGTGAGTGAGTGTGAGTGAGTGTGAGTGAGTGAGTGTCAGTGAGTGTGAGTGAGTGTGAGTGAGTGTGAGTGAGTCAGTGTGAGTGAGTGAGTGAGTGTGAGTGAGTTGGGGTGAGTGAGAGGGAGGAAGGCGGGAGGAAGGAGGAGGAAGGAGAAGCGGCGCGGACGACGAGCGGTAAAAGTAAGAACCCCACACAAAGATGTGGGGAAATATACCAATTGGTGAAGGCTTCCCAAGGGAGATGCCCCATCAAAGCCACACTTGACTTACTGTTGGGATTCGTTCACCTTCAGGGAGACCAGCGGAACTGGACCGAGAGGGGAAAAACAATTCTCGAACTCATTCAAACAACGGCAGGGGGGCGCCGACAAAGTGCGCTTCTTCAAAGAGCGGTCCCCCTTTTCCTATTAACATCTTACTGAAGCATTCCGCAAAGTAAGTTGACCGAGCGTACCCCGCCTTGCAGTAGCCTTTGCTGTCCAGCAACAGGTTCTCCATTTTCAGGTCCTGGCGATAAACAGGCGGCGGCAAGTGAACCTGCGCTTTTGTCACCCTCCAGGCTGACAATTCAAGTTTGCCCAAGTTCTGTCAGACATGCGAGTGGCTATTGTCAGGATTACCTTGATTGCCTGTTTTGAGTTGAAACCTGATAGAAGCCACGAACACGAATGCAAACTGCTCGGCACATGTTGTTTCAGTTTTGGGTAAAACCAAAAAGCTAGGATCGCAGTGAAACCAGATCTCATAGTTCGGTAACATTCGCAGCCTATCCTTGCGGACACCACATCCCTAAATGCAAAAACGTGTCCCCCACCCCCCTATACATTTCCAGGCGTGCCGCCCCTCATTTCCAGGCTTTCCCTGTTCCAATGTGGCTTCAGAATGAGGGGCCCTTTTGAGCGGCAGGGTTCAATCAAAATCTGAAGGAAAAGCCTCGCTGGCGGGATCTCTGAATCACGTTTTTGGGCTCCAGCCAGTAGCCATTTGCGGCTCGCAGCCCTTTTTGGCACCCCCTTGCTGTGCGTCCTGACCGTCACTGAAAATCCACTGACCCGCTGCCACAGAATCGTGTCTCAACAGGGTTGTTCTAAATGTGGGTGTCTTTTTTCGGTGCCATTTTATACCCCCCCTTTTTGAAAGAAAACAACTGGGCGCCAAGGTTCCAATTTGGGACCAAGCATTTGGAACAACCCTCATAATCCACGCCACCGGCAACAAGTCATAAGAATCCCGATTGATTCTTCGCAGAAAGAGAAGGAACTCCCTGCATCCATCAGCAGAGGCATCAAGATTGGCATTGGGAGCCATTCCAGAAGCCAATCTGGCAAATTGATGATAGACATTTTTGCTGAAATCCAAAACGTACCACCAATATTTCGTGGGGTCGTCATCCCTGAATGTACTGATGGGGGGGGGATGGAGTTAGGCTAGACCTTGCCCATCTTTTTTCTATAAAAAAACCTAGGGTCCTCCCCACACTTTTAGCAACATTTTAAAACAGCACCTCAAAAAGCACATTTTCAAAAATCAACATTTTAAAGCAGGTAATTTCCTAGTAAGTTCATCCATATTTTAAAAAATAAATTTTACAAAATTTTAAAAAATTTATTTTACAAAATTTTAAAAAATAAATTTTAAAAAATAAATTTTACAAAAAAAATAAAAAAAAATAAATTTTACAAAAAAATAAAAAATAAATTTTACAAAAAACAATAAAAAAATAAATTTTCAAAAAAATATTATTCCAAAAATTATGATAAATTATTTTACAATAAATTTTATCACAAATTTTGTAGAAATATTATGGGCAAGGTCTGGTTCATTCGTTTTTTACGGGCACCATTCTTCCTTAATTCTTTCTATTATTTTATCACACGTTGTTTCATTATAAATATTACTTCCTATTTGTTTTCTAAACATTCCCATTATTCCAATTGCACGTGTTATTGTATATCTAAGTTCGTGAGTTTTATACTCATCATTTAAAAACTCATTTAAAAAATCAAACAATATAACATATTTTAAACGTTTAATATTAAAAGAAACGTTATATAATTTTTTCACCATACTATAATACTTAAAAATAAAATCATTATTATATCCTTCGTCATCACACTCAGTTAGTAAATTATCAAACCCTTCTATAGTTAAGAAATTATTCATTACAATAAACACAAATATTTCTAAATCATCATCAAGAGTTTCATTATTTATAATATCAATATCTTTGTTATTCATATCATCAATTTTGTTTATAATTCTATTGCAATTATTGCATATAATGTATTGACAAATATTATTACAAACGCCATTTGTAAAACCGCGTTCAATTGGTAATTTTAGCATTTCACAGTCTTTGCATTTATAACTCATAAACCTTTTTTTCAATATATTTTTAGCATCATGGACTGTATCACTCATCAAACTATATAATAGTATTATAAAATATTTCTTTAAATACTTTTTACAAGAATTTTAATTTAAAATTAAATTTCATTAATAAATTAAAATTAAATTAGGTTATGTAGATAAAATTTCATAATTTAAGTTCAGGATAATAATTTAATTGATGACTACTAAGTTGTATATATAACTTATGTCTTTCATGCATTATTTTAAAATAATATTAATATCTCTCACTGTATTTTTAACATTAAACTTTTTACTTTCAATATATGTTTTAATGTCTTCTTTTACATCAAAACCTTCCCTGCTATAATAGGTCAACATCCATAATATACCTTCAATCATTTTATATTTTTTCTTACTGATTTTTAGAAATATTCTAACATAACTATAAGGTGGTCTTCCATACACGGTTAAAAATATTAAAATTTCATCTTCTACGTTTCTTTTATCTATTTTTTTAATCTCCAAAATATTTTCTATTATATTTTGATATCGTCGCCATCTTCTGCAAGTTCTACATACATCTTCTTCGTCCAATGCATAATCAATAATATTATTCACTATTCCATTATGTAAATTCAATTTATACAATTCCATATTTTCCTTTTTGAAGTGGCAACAATCATAGCATTTTTTATTGATATAACTATTGATTTTGGTTTTCATCATCTCGCTATATAATATATATAGGTAATATTTCTTTAAATACTTTTTACAAGAAATTTAATTTTAAATTAAAATTAAATTAAAATTATAATTATATTATCATAATTAAATTAAAAATTATCATCATTTACAACTACAATTGCATAATTTACAAAATGGGATGATATTTTCTATTGTATGAGTTAATTCATTATCTTTTCGTTGTGCTGTTAGATTTGTAATGATATTACCATTTTTCATATCAATAGTAAAACCACATCCGCAGTAATTACATTGATTATTTATATTATCTAGAAACCATTGAGTATTTACATAACCTTCTCTAGGTATGCTTCTTTTTGCTTTCCTGTCTTGTTCCTTATAATTCAAAATTTTCCTTTCGAAATAACTCATAATACATTTTTGATTAAATACATCATCAACATCCTTTGTATATTTATAAAATTTGACTTTGTTTAAATCACGAGCACGTGTTACCGCTGTAAAAATCCATTCTGGATAATTCTTTACCAAAAAATGATTATAATCAAAAATTGTTATGGTGTCATCAATGCTACTACCTTGAGTAGAATGACATGTAGAGCAAGAAGAAAATATAAAATTGCTTCTTATTTTAGCAATTTCTACGGATTGTAAAATTTCGGTTTTTACATTTTTTAATGTAAATATTCCATCACTTCCAATATGAACTATTTTATATTTGAAATTTACATTAAAAACTGATGTTTTAGTTTTAGTATATTCTCTACAAATTAAAAATTCTCCTACTTCATATTCATCTTTTCTATTTTCTAATTTTCTAATTTCATTTGATACATTTTTACAAGTTGTATTTAAAAATGCTATGTTGTTTTTGGAACTACTTATGTCTGTGGTGTATTCAAAATATTTTTCAATAATAGTTTTAATTGGTAATTTATTAATAAAAATATCATATTTTATATTCTTGAGTTTATCCTTATCTTCCTGTGTGTTAAGTCTCTTACATTCTTTCAATATTATATTATGTGTAAAAATATTATCTATAATATTGTCAGTGTATAATTCATAGTCTTGAGTATTTGTTATTTCTTGCACTGGTTTTAATTGCTTGGTGTCTCCTGTTGCTATTATAATTTTGTTGTGCTTATTTTGCTCTACAAATTGTTTTATTCTCCAGTATATATTTAAATTACTAAAATAGATTTCATCAAATACTATTACATCAAATTCTGTAAAATCAAATGGTTCTAATTTAGCATCTCCATAATTAATACCAAAGAATTTATTTATCGTCATTGCTTCTCCTTCAAATGCCTGTAATAGTTTATTAGTAGGACAAATAAAAATTACCTTATAATTTTTATCAACCATTTTTTGACATATATATGATTTTCCTGTGCCCGGTAGTTCACCTCTGATCATAATAGGATTATTCTGTTTAACAATCTCTATAATGTTATCAGTGTCGTATTCATCTTTAATATCAATAGTTTTACTTTCATAAGCTGGTATTTTTATTAATTCATTATTTACAACGTTAAATTTTACTGTAGGTAAATTAATTTCATCTCTCTGCTTTGAAACTTTCCAACCTCCTATATCATCATGAAATTCTAATAATTGCTTTGTTTTTTCTTCATTGCATGTATCAATTACAAAAGCATCTGTTTTTACACTATATATATTAATATTATTAGTTATTAGTGTCTTAAAGTCTTGGTTCATTTTAAAATTGTGATGTTGTAAAAGTAGTTCTTTAATATATCTATATCCGTTTCTTAATACTGCCTTATCCTTCAAATTCAATATATAATATGATGCCTTTACATCCCATTCATCCTCATCAAATCCATAATATGTTGTAGTTGCGCCTCCTTCGTCGTCATATTCGGTTATCATTTCGGGATATTCGCTTATAATATGCGATAACTTATTAATTTTACCTCCGTATTCTGTTTGATAATGGACTGCTTCATCAATACTTTTAAATAAAATACTTTGATGTGCTGTAGCGCCTCCTTTTTCTAATAATCCAAAATTTACATTTGCTATTAACTTTTTAATTAGTTTATCTAATGCTTCGTCATGTTCATCTATATTTGTTTGTAAAAGTTCATTAATAATATTTGTATATTCAACCTTATGAATAAATGAAGGTTGTTTATAATATAAAATATTGATTTTGTGTGTCTTATTCTCATTGATGAATTCCTTTAAAAACTTGCCATATACTAGATTATATTTTTTGTTGAAAAATAAGTTGTGATTACCACTTATTACAATGTTTCTAATTGCTTGTTTTAATTCATCAGGATTTAAAAACAAACTTAAATCATGTGTTTTACGAAATTCTATATAAGTAGCAACGTCAATACCTTTACTATATGCAATAGAATATATCATCTGCTTGGTGTGTTGATTTTTCTCTATTAGTTCCTTAATGCTGTCCA